GGATTAAAACATTAACAGTGACTAATGCATCACTATACAGTACATTAATCAATGATATGTAACATTGTGTTACTACTGTTACATCAGTATGAATGAATCACTTGATTCCCTGGCCGGCAGACCGATGTCGATCATGTATGGTGCAAGGCAACTCACTGACAGACTATGGAATGCAGGCAGGCAGGCAGCCAGCCTCGGAGACAGCAGGGTCCTGAGGACGTCACTGCCACCCGGCACTGTGTAGTCAGCATGTCATGCTGGGTAACCGTTTTGAATCCAAGTTGCACACACTACCGCTGAGGTCTCGAATCGGACAGTCTAGCTCTGCTGGCGAGATCGTCGAATTCAAAATCCTCTAAACACACGCAAACCCGGCACTCTGCCTTCCCCAACATCCGTAATACGGTCTCGGAGGCTGTACAAACACGACAAATCATTGAATCAGTGACGACAGAGATTCGTCTGACAAATTGAAATATAAAATTCCTGGCACTCTGCCTTGCCGAAAATCCTGCACAAGTCTCGGAAAGAGTACGAACATGGTCTGCTCATTGACAGACCAGGCTGCTTGCAAGACTTGCCCACGCTCTTGAGAATTCAGAAACATCCACAATGTCGAAAAGCACTCCTCTAGCATCGTGTCGAACGGAATCACAGAATCATCGTCGTCAAAACTGTCCGCGACCGAGCCCGCAGTGCTTGCACCCTCATCGTCAACCAGAACCCAGTCCGAGCCCAGAGACTCACTGTCACTCCACGACGTCGACGACATCTGCCGGCTTGCAGGGGGGCCTACTACGACTTAGACTTGAGACAGAGCAGCTGTAACACGACTATAGTAGATTACGCAGGGCAACAGCGAGCACAACTGCTGCAGCGGCAAGTTGCGATACATGACACGCTCACTGACTATGCAAGGCAGCTTGTCCTCTGCGATGGCAGCATGTCCTCAGGATCCTCGTCATGAGCCTCGGTGCCAGGACTGTACATCGCTCATAATAATGGAAGTAGCTGAAGCAAGCTGATGCTGAGATCCCAGCAGTTGGCATCCACTTCTCGATGGGCTGGAAGCCGATGAAGACCGATGGGAGAGAAGGAAATGGAAGAGAAGGCGTTCACTAGGCTTGGATTCAAACCGAACACTTAGACCTGGCCAACGGTGTGGGGAGCAACCCCGATGGGGCAGGGACTTAAGTAAGGCAACCTCGAGAGGCTCGACTGGCACTCTGCCTCTGTCGATCCAAGTCGCAAGGCTCCCTAACTAACGTGACAAGCATGGATGGCCTCCCCTCCTGGTTGGGAGAAAAATAAAAAAGCCACAACCACTGGACCACCCCACCCAGCACTTTAGCCCATGTGCCCGGGTGTCATATGCCACTGCCCTGTCACGTTGGCCCCAAGGCGGTCCAGGTACCATCGACAACACCTGACACCCGGCCAACGGTGTCCACGAACCGAGATGGCACTCTGCCTCTGTCGCTCCAAGTCGCAAGGCTCACTAACGTGACAAGCATGGATGGCCTCCCCTTCAGGGCTGTAAGCAGATTGCGAACAACACCCACTGGACCACCCCACCCGGCACTTTAGCCCATGTGCCCGGGTGTCATATGCCACTGCCCTGGCACGTTGGCCCCAAGGCGGTCCAGGTACCATCGACTCAACACCTGACACCCGGCCAACGGTGTCCACGAACCGAGATGGGCAGTCGATCCGTGTGGGTAAGGTGGCACTCTGCCTCTGTCGCTCCAAGTCGCAAGGCTCACTAACTAACGTGACAAGCATGGATGGCCTCCCCTCCTGGTTGGGAGCTGAAAGCAAGCCACAACCACTGGACCACCCCACCCGGCACTTTAGCCCATGTGCCCGGGTGTCATATGCCACTGCCCTGGCACGTTGGCCCCAAGGCGGTCCAGGTACCATCGACTCAAGACCTGACACCCGGCCAACGGTGTCCACGAACCGAGATGGGCAGTCGATCCGTGTGGGTAAGGTGGCACTCTGCCTCTGTCGCTCCAAGTCGCAAGGCTCACTAACTAACGTGACAAGCATGGATGGCCTCCCCTCCTGGTTGGGAGCTGAAAGCAAGCCACAACCACTGGACCACCCCACCCGGCACTTTAGCCCATGCGCCCAAATCTCATATGCCACTGCCCTGGCACGTTGGCCCCAAGGCGGTCCAGGTACCATCGACTCAACACCTGACACCCGGCCAACGGTGCCCACGAACCGAGAAGGGCAGTCGATCCGCGTGGGTAAGGGCAAGGTCTCAAGGCAAGTCAACATGTCACTACGGCCTCCCTTCTTTGTTCAATCACAACCAAAACTATTTAAAAAAATAAATATTAACTTCAACAACAAATAAACAACAAATTTGTAGACATGCAGCAGCAGGAAACCAGGTAGAACAACAGGAAGCCATTTGACTCAATCAGAAACAAAAACTCATAATTCACAAACATGCATTTTTCTATACCAAAAATAATAAAATAAAAAAATTTTAACAACTGTAAAACACAAAAAACATATCTAAAAAACTTTTAAATACAAAACAAGACTTTTAAATACAAAAAAACATTTTTAAATACAAATAAAGCCAACCACATACAAAAATGAGATTTTGGGTTCCTTTCATATAAGCCTTGTTGATCTAAACCCTGTGGTTCTGGTTCGGCGCAAAGGGTTAAGGATTTAAGAATAGGCGTCTTACGGGCTTATGTACGGGTCTTATTCGCGCGGCGTTTGTTCTGCGTTGATGAGGCTTTGTATACCTTGTATGTGGTTTTCTGGGGTTGTGCAGGGCTGCTTTGGGCTTATAGGCCTTTGTGCGGCTTTGGTTATATGGTCTGTCAGAGTTTCTTCAGATTCAGACGCGTGAGGGTCACGGACTAGGCCTCATCATGTACCTTCCGAACCCTATAAAGCCTAAACCCTTCACCCTGAGGAGTTGGGGCTAGGGAGGGTAAAGTTTAGGTCTGAAGTTTCGGAGCCTTTGGGTTTTGACGGATTTTGGACTTCGGGGTTGTTGTGGTTAGGGCCAGGGCAGTATAGCTCAGATAATGGTGTGTCAAAGAAGACATACCAGGCTTAGGGATCTACGCAGGGTCGAGGGCTTCGGTGGCTCGGGGTTCAGCGTCGGGTCTCGGAGGGTTTTAACTTCGGGGGCTTGCATGGATATATAGAGGGTTAGGGTTACGAAATGAGGACTCCAACGTGCAGGGCATTCGAAGCGCAGCTTAGTGTCTCAGGACACATGGCATTCATGTATCCGTTTTGGACATCATGCCGACTACGCAGTTTCTGCTACAAATGCGTCTGCTAGTAGATATATCTGGATTGCTGGTTGGACCTGGTGAGGCAATTGTCAGGAATCACAGGCAATGGCGCCTGGTATTCAACCTCCGTCAGACCCGAAGTTTGCACGGGCCGAGTGCTGCGAGCTCCTGTTCCTCTGGCAGGCGCCGGCCTGGAGACATGGGCCAAGTCCCGCCTCACTCCTCCAGCTACACCAAGGCTGGGATCATCGCCGGTCCGGTGACTCCACCGCAGATCGATTTCCGCGACATGTGCTGGCAGTCGTAGTCCGAGAGCACTGAGGAGAGTTCCCCAAACCTTGGAAAACCCTACTTAACTCCCCAACAGCTGTTAGAGATTCTTGCGGGCCATTAACATTGAAGTTTTGAATTTGCCGGGCACATGAGGCGCGTCAGAAAGTCTAGATAAATCTGCGGCCGAATCTGACTTCTTAATCAGGGGTGATATTGGGCTGTCTGAGTACTGCTGAGTTTACGCTAGTTCAAAAAAATGAACACCGGAGGGACCGTACCAGCAGGCCATTTCGAGTTGAGAAAACCTCACCCCAACTAGTGAAAACCTATAGACCTTAAACCCTGAACCCAAATAGCCCTTGGTACATTGTGGAGCAAGCCTGGGATCAGAATCCTGCCGCCGAATATCGTTTAGGGCTGGAGGGCTTAGGATTTAGGATTTAAGGCTAAAGGATCTAAGGCTGTTCAACTCCGAAGGGATGGCCTGGGGTGCCTTTTTGGAGTGGGATGCTTGAGAAATCCTGCATGTTGCTAGCGCATTCGTGCCCCCCTCCCCCCAAGCAATCCTAAACTTAAACGCGCTGAACATCCCTGAACCCTTAAACCTTTTAACGTGAAGCGTAACGACCCTCAACATCCCTAAACACAGAGCACGGCAAACTCTAAACATCCAACACCTAAACCTGCAGCTAAGACTGACAGCAATTCCCAGCCGACCCGATCGTGGACGCTGCCAGGACGAGGTCCAATGAAGGAACTCCTTCGGAAAGGCTTACGTATGAGTCTATATGGTTTAGGGTTCTTTGCCCCTTGGGCTGTTCGAGGCTCTAGCGTAAATCGTAGTTCATTGGATCCGGATCCGTTGCATGCATAAGGAGCCCCTACTAGACTAGAAAGGGTACCCAGCGGTTCAATGAGTGGCCTGTTGGGGTCTGAATAGGCTGAAGATTGTGGCTCGAAAGCTCTGCAGGAGACGATGTGGACCGGATTGTGATACTGTCAGTTCCTGATTCCTGCTGCAAGCAGCAAGTATTGGCTGCGAAGTGCTGGCGGGAACAGCTGTCCCACGCTACAGGGTGGTGCGTGGCGTACATGATGGGATAATGCAGACCGCCTGCAGCCATGTGGAAGGAATCACAGGACAGCATCAACGAGCTTTTTATGCACAAAACTGACAAGCCATGCAACGACTACGAGGGCCTCGGGCACCACCTCAGCTAGCTCCGGTCTGAAACAAGGGCCGGGGTCGGTACTTCCAGGCGTTGCCGTCCTCTGCCATCAGTGTGCAGGGACAAGGCCGTCCTGGTCTTTGAGACAGAGCGTCTCGGGAGCCAGGTCGCGGACGTTCTAGGCCGCAGCATGCGCGGGGACCTCGCCGGCGTTGTCGTTGGAAGAGAGCGTCTCCTCGAGAGCCGGCCCTCGGGAGCCAGCTCGTAAAGGGGCTGCAGCGCCTCCTTATTGTAAGCCGCAGCGTGCAGCCACGAGGCCGTCTTTGAAGGAGAGGGTCTCGGGTGCCAGGTCGTGGAGGAGCTGCAGCGTCTCTGTGTGCCCGTACATGGCCGCCCAATGTGCAGGGACCCTGCCGCCGTTGTCCTTGAAAGAGAGCGTCTCGGGAGCCAGCTCGTGGAGGAGCTGCAGCGTCTCTGTCTCTGTGTGCCCAACGCCGTACATGGCCGCCCAATGTGCAGGGACCCCGCCGAGGTTGTCCTTGAAAGAGAGCGTCTCGGGTGCCAGGTCGTGGAGGAGCTGCAGCGTCTCTGTGTGCCCGTACATGGCCGCCCAATGTGCAGGGACCCCGCCTTCGTTGTCCTCGAAAGAGAGCGTCTCGGGAGCCAGCTCGTGGAGGAGCTGCAGCGACTCCTTGTGCCCCTTCATGGCCGCCCGATGTGCAGGGACCCCGCCTTCGTTGTCCTTGAAAGAGAGCGTCTCGGGAGCCAGCTCGTGGAGGAGCTGCAGCGACTCCTTGTGCCCCTTCATGGCCGCCCGATGTGCAGGGACCCCGCCTTCGTTGTCCTTGAAAGAAAGCGTCTCGGGAGCCAGCTCGTGGAGGAGCTGCAGCGCCTCCTTGTTCCCGTTCATGGCCGCCCAATGTGCAGGGACCCCGCCTTCGTTGTCCTTGAAAGAGAGCGTCTCGGGAGCCAGCTCGTGGAGGAGCTGCAGCGACTCCTTGTGCCCCTTCATGGCCGCCAAATGTGCAGGGACCCCGCCTTCGTTGTCCTTGAAAGAGAGCGTCTCGGGAGCCAGCTCGTGGAGGAGCTGCAGCGTCTCTGTGTGCCCGTACATGGCCGCCCAATGTGCAGGGACCCTGCCGCCGTTGTCCTTGAAAGAAAGTGTCTCGGGAGCCAGCTCGTGGAGGAGCTGCAGCTCCTCCTTGTGCCCCTTCATGGCCGCCCAATGTGCAGGGACGTCACGCTGGTGTGGAGGAGCTTGTCTTGGGCCTCCATCTGCTCTTCCAGGAACCTGTAGGGCGTCTTCTACATTCGCTTCATTAATCCTTCAAATACGCCCAGCCTCGAACAAGACGTGCTTCTCAAAATCGAGAGGACCGGCCGATTGATCATGCTCCGCAGGGCGTCCGATCTCCTTGACCTGCAGTGCCGCTCTTGCCGCTCACGAAACTCGTGCAGGTTTCGCATAAGCATGTCGGAGATTGCAGAATCAGGGTATGCTCGTAACAACTGCTGCTGGAGTTTGTAATGTGCAAGGCTTTAGGACTCATGCAAGTTGAGGCAAGTTGCCCGTTCATCACTCGCCGATAGACTGATGTTCCAAAAGTAATCATTGTTCGGCATGCCCTTTTCAAGAGCACCTCCACCTTCAACTTTTGTCAGGGCCCCTGTGGGCTTCATGAAAGCAAAAGCGTCAGAGCAGCTTTTGTAAAGATGGACCGACAGTGCGAAGTCGAAATCATCGTGACACTGCACTTGATGCACCCACCAGTTTTGGCGATTCAGCCAGGTGGTGTCTCCTGTCGTGAGCTTCAGGGTCGACTGTTCCTCGTTCGGCAGGCCGAGCTGCCCATCATCTCCTTTGAACTTGATGGGCTCATCGTCCAAGATGCTGTCGAAGAGCTGGCAGTTCAATGCGCCATGCAGCACACGCACGCTGCCCGCGCAGCCACCGTGATGGTGCTTTGGGGACTTGTAGCCTTTAGGCCATAACTCCAGTACCGCCGTGTACTGGCCAAGTTCCAGTAAACCTAAGCCGATGCGGATGTAGGTCATCGTCTTATCCCCGAACTTCTCCTGGGCTTTTACACCTTTCGCTCGCAGCTTCCTGTACAGCTCGTGCTCAGGTTGTAGTGACTGAAGAATGGACTGAAGAGCTTCACTCGTCAAGTAGTTCTTCGCAAAGTCATCCACGCATGGCCGGTGCGTCAGCTCGCAAACGGCTTTGGCATCGTCGGGCATGTCTTCATTGGGCTGCCCTGGACGGTACAACAAAGGCTGCGCCTTGTCGTTGGCGAGGTACTGGCGCAGGTCGAGGTATAACTTCTCCACTGTGTCCTGCAGCCTGACGACGGCCCCTTCCTCTCCACAAGAATCGCATTGGATGGAGATGTGCAGTATCTTGCTCTTCTTACCAGACTGAATGTTCTGGCGATTGATCTCGAAAATCTGGCGTGGAGTCTGCTTCAAGAAGTCCGCGACAACCTTCTTTTTTTGTAAACAAACAAAACCGCACCTGACCCGCGCGTTGTCGGTGACGTCCCCAAACTTCAACCGTTCATCGCAATCCAAGTTGTCGCAAGGGTGCCTTCAAAGCTTGGCAGGGCTTGCAGCTACACCTTTTGATCCCCATCACCAGCAAGAAACAGTCTACTGAAGAGCTTCCCTACAGATCGCTTGCTTCAAGAAAGTGGCCTGCACATCTCTTGCAGCTCTTCGAATGTCCGGTCAAGCAGACGCCGCTTCTCAGCACCGAGAAGGTCAGCCCCAGCTTGGGCAGCCATAGCGGAAAGCAAGCGCTGCCCAAGCTACGGCAAGGTGTAACCTTCCCCACATAGCTAATAGAAACTACGAGGCTGTCAGATCATGTTGCTTGCAAGTGGGGTCGACTGTGTTGGTGCCAACCTGCTGCCTGGAGGCAGACTTATCACACGATCACTCCATTTCTCTAAGTGACGCACTGCTCAAGCTCCCAACAAAGCAGGCAAGACGTGGATCCGAGCAATGCTTTCAAACCTCAATGCGACCAATAACGACTGCACTGAGTGTTGGCAGCGTAGTGATCGTCGTCGTAGTAGCAGCAAAAGGAGGAACAGCATCTCGCTATCGCTCTGTCTGTCTCTCTCTCTCTCTCTCTCTCTCTCGCGGTTGACACGCTGATGTCGTGCGATCTCCCACTGCGCAGCCCTGAGCCGACGTGGTTTGCCATGACGGCGACACCCCTGCGACGCACAACGTCGGGCGGCCACTGCTTCAACAGACTCAGGCCGGAAATCCTAATCCCAAAAACACTGATCCACAAGCCCAAGCTCACCACAGGTCTCCGCACCTCCGATGGTGCCGTCGTCAACAAGCACGGCGGTCTCTTCGACGTCAGCAACCTTGGGATCTACTGCTGAATTGGGGATCACGGTTTAAGGTTTGGGGCTTGGGACGGCTCATGGTCGTTTCAGGAGATTAACTTCTTTCGTGATTCTCCTACTACGGATCTTTAGGGTATGTCTAGGCTTAGGCTTATGGTTAGTCTTCATGCAGAAAAAACAAGCCGAAACCCATTTCTTCTGCATTAGGCTTTCGATCGAGCCTCCAGCCTGTACGAATGCAACCGAAATCGAGACAGCGCAAGCTACTCGGACGGCAATTCCCAATTCAATCCTGCAGAACCCAAAAAGATCGAGTTAAACAAATAGGTTTAAGATTTATATAGGGTCTTCTGGACCACTGGGGTCGGTCTGTGGCCGCGACAACTCAAACTCGCAGGCCCAAACAAAAGATACGACACACACAAAGAGCCCTTTACAAGGCTCTGCGAACACCCTGAACCCTAAACGAAAGTATAGCATGCGCACAAGGCACAGGCCAAAGCCAAAGGCACGAACGAGAGAATTGACACTTCAACGAAGATCTGCCAAAGTTACAGCACGCCTTTAGTCCTTCGGCGAGCTCTCTACCGACCTAGCCGAACTTTTGCACCCATCCTGCAACTGCCGATTCCTTTCACCCTGAACCTAAAGCCTTTAATCGCAATCGTAAACTATAACAGCCCTTGAACCAACACTGAAATCAAATCCTAAGCTCAGGCTCTCAGATCCCAATCCCTGCTGTTTGTACAGCCCTGTCCTGACACCGACTGATACAGCCCAGCTAGTGCAGAATCAAATTCATAATCTCCCCTCAGCCCCTGGCCCTAAATCCTTACCCCAAACACCCAACCCCTGTTGGTCGCCGCACCTCGCTGAGCACAGCCCGAAGTCTGGCACGAAAGGCGCCGCTGGTCGCAAGGCGACGGGAGGACTCGGCGTGACAAAGAGTGCTTCTGTTGAGGCGCTGGGTTTGGTTTTAGGTTGGAAGGATGAGGGCTTAGGGGTGTGAGATTCTGGGGCTTTAGGGGTTTCAGGTCCCGTCAGTCATAGGGCTTTAGGGTGTCAGGGTTTCGGGCTTAGCCGTGACATAAAGCCGAATATGGTAACAACACCCGATTTTTCAGCAGCCCTCAGTGTGATGTAAGTGATATCAAGAATGCCAGGCGGGGAGCTGGACGACTAGGAAACATAAGCTTTATAGGGATAGGGCCAATAGTTCGTAGTTCGCATATGGCTGTGGGGTTTGTATTTTACCCATGGGAACGACAAAAGGGGGTCAGTCAAACTTGTGTTCCGATCCGTGTATCAGAAGGTTTCCTTCAAAAGCTCATTTAAGTCAGCTTTTGGGGTGGGTCCTTCTTGAAGGGTTCAGGGTTCGAAATTTCGGGTGCAGTCAACAATGTACTTCCCTGATTCACAAACCCTCGCAGCTTTACAGGGGTTATGGAAGGGCTCCCCACATTAGGACCAATTTAGAACTGCCTTTCTTGATGCTGTTGCTTCCGGTCCGGTTCGGAGACCAAAGTCGCGATTGCAGCTTCGGGGGCATCACGATAGCTATAGGAATCTGCTCACGCCGCTCATTTAGTTGAATCAAAGGGCATGTTGACAGTTACAGTGCCACTATACTCAGGCACCCTAAGGCCGTAAGGAATAATAATCGCAAACACACAATCTTCTTGTTTTTACTACCGCCTTACTGCGCGCTAGCACCTCTCAACCTAATGCTGCAAAAACAATAATCCTGTACGTTGCCATGCAGCTCGGAAAAAGCTCAACTAGAGTGTAGGGTTTCTATCTTAGGATTTACTATTACAGTAGCCGCCGGAAAGTTGGAAGGCGGCAATTGGAACGGTTGATGCGGCAACGGCATCTTCCAACTTTGGGTTTGACTTGGTCCCATCTTCCAACTTTAGGTCCCGGCATTTGGAGCGGTTCATGCGGTAATCAAAAGTTCGAAGGTTGCAAACTTGGAAGAATCCAAAGTTGGAAGACGTGTTTTATTCCAATTGTGGGGTGCTGAAATTTTGGGTGCGCATCTTCCAACTTTGCGGCTACCACCATATGATTGGGGAAGTATCCCCCATAATAGTACCCCTTAAGATCCCTCAAAGGAGCCCTTTAAAGGGACCCTTATAGGTCCCTCAACGGAAACCCTTAACAATAACCAGGGCCCTTTGGGTTTCCACCTGAGGGCCCCGACTCCGGAGGCCTGAACGGAAATGGCGCCGGTGACCGTGAACGCCTCGAGGTTCCTCGGATGGTGAAAGCATGCATTTCGCAGAACATTTAGGCGCTGCTGGGCTTTTTGCTTGGTTGTTAGTTTGATATTGTATATGTACATGTATGTTCTTCGTCAGGGGCAGGAGGGTGGGGCGAGTTCTTGCGTGTGGAGTCGGTAAGACCGGTTGAAATGTTCTTGTCTGGGCTTTTGGGAGAATGGGGCACAGGATCACTCTAGTCTTGCAGATTCATTGGGTTCCGAGGTGTTTCTCATATCCATATATATATATATATAGACTCTTAGATATATAGGGTTCTAGCGAATGTGGTCCTTGGTCCAGTTCATGGTCAAGTTGACCCACTTCAGACAGGTGGAGGCTTGGGGCTTCGCGTCTGGGCCGCAAGTCTCCAGTCTCCAGGGCTCGAGGTTTTGAGTTTGGGATTTCAGAAGCAGCAATTTTCAGGGACGGTTCTTGGAAAGCGATTTGGCTTTGCAACTAGTTTTTGCTGCAGGACTGAAAGGTGAGTTTATTTGCCTTTGGACTTTAGCACGCCCGCGCCCCGGTGCTTCGGATTCAGCATGCAGCCCGTAAAGATTCCTTAGCCCTATACTACAGAGGCCTACATGTGGGGCTCCCGACGATATTTATGATATCTCCGGTCAACACACGGTTTTGGACGTCTCCCCCAAACCTGTTCCATTATAAAGGACACTATATTCCCTGCTCTAATCCACCATATTCCCCTAAACCCTCCTGGAAGCCCAGGCATCTCATCGGCAAGTGGCCTTTAGCTTCTGCAAAAGGCCGTGTGATTGAACCCCCTAACTAGTAGCCTTCGAGTACCAGTACAGGCCCTGAGCATATAATGCTGAAGCCCGAAAGGCATTGCAACCCCCGACATAAGACAACATAATCATATAGTGACAATGACAAGACTACGAGGGGATACTATTGCTAATCATTCCGACCGCTACAATAAACCCTGACTCTTAAGCCCTAGATAACTCTGCTGTCGACTGAGTGCCTGGCGTGCTCACTGTAGCACCTCCGGGGACTCTCTGAAGGATTTCAGAAGGCCATTCCTATTACTACTGTTATGATTCTTATCATATTAGTGTTGCTATGACAAATATTGTTATTGTTGTCTGTAATTGCTGCGATGCTATGATTTGTACATCTTACTATGGCAATTACTATTAGGCGTTACTGTTATGACTATAGATAAGCGATCTGGGAGCGTTCATGAAGCATTGGTGATTACCGGGTGCAGGCTTTGTTTATTGCGGCTTGGCCTAAGATTCCGGTCTAGAGCCCAGCTAGTCTAGGGTCTAGAAGGGTTGAGAGCTGGGGTTTGGGGGGCGGGGGCTTTCTCAGAGTTTCAATTCATGTGGAGTTTCCGAAAAAATAGGGGAACCTAGTACAGTACCCTAAATAGCGGGATCCTTAATATTGTAAGGACCCCAGAATAAGGTATCCTAAACCCGTTGTTGGTGCTTAGCACTAGGGGCTTATGCTTCGACACGGACATTCATGATCCTTTTTGTTGGTTTCCCTTTGTCTTAGTCTCGGAACGCCCTATGCAAGCCCGGAAAAATCAAAACGAGCAGTTCAGTAGGAATCCAGGTATATTCCGTACTTCACAGAGTGGTGTTGGGCTTTCTACGTATAGAGTTTGGATTTAAGGCTGGGGCAAGGCTGTTGCCTCTAAACTCTAAGGCTCCAGAGTCAGTCCAGGAGACTCTATTAAACATCTTTTCCGCTTTGGAGCCACTCACAAGTTCTCAGATGCTGCTACATCAACTCGATACCCCGGACCAATTCAAAAACAAACAGGCAATTGAGGCCGCAGGTAAAGCCTAAAGCCCCAGCTCTCCGGACTCTGAACCGTTCCCCCGCACCCTGAAATGCGAACTCAGCGGCTGATTAGTGTGGTCCTCAACGCATACTACGCGGGCCATTCACTAGAATAAGGTCTTAGGTAGATGATATTCTCGGTACATACGGACTATAGAGGGGCATGATACTGCTACTAAGCATGTAGGCCCCTATGGGGCTGCTATCGGTTTTCGGATGCTAGGGTCCACAGATGTAGGGCCGGAGATTTGAGTTTGTTTGGGTCCTGAAACTTGGCGGCCGCTCAGTGGGGTAGAGCCCGACATGAACAGCCCTATGTGGAAACTGTGCTTCTTTTGCCTG